ACTCTGTTTTTGCCTTATATCCTATATTTCCATGTATGCTTGTACACAATTTAATAAATTGCTACATTTATTTACACCATTTTCCTAGTAAAATATTTAAAAAAAACCAAGAGGTGGGTAGAGACTTTCACACTGTACTGTAATAATAGTCTAGCAACAGAAAATAAATCCATTGCTGATATGTTTATTAACACCTGTTTATCTTGAGGACATCAATGTGTGGTGTCGAGTAACTTTCCACTTTTCTCAGATATTTTTCAGTTCTATTTCATTACATTCAGTTTGATTTATATATTTTTATTTATTTGCACAGGGTAAAATATTTCCACACAAATGCTTGTAAATAAGGCCCAATTATTCCAATTGCATTACAATTCAATGCACATATTTCCCTTTTTCCTAGCTAAACATAAAGAAACTACATGTACCTCAATGCTTTCACACAGTACTACTGTATTATTAGTCCACCAAGAGAAAAAGAGGCATTGATTAAAAAAAATTGATTGAAGCTTTTTGTGCTTGGCTTTCACCAGCAGGTGTTTATCTGGAGGGCATCAGGCTTAAAGCCATAGGCGTGGTGTCTGCTACATTTTCTCTTTTTCAGAGATTTTTCCTGACAGTTAAAGTATGCAGTCAGACAAGAATCCAGATGAGTTTGATATTCTGTGAATGAATACCAGACGACAAACAACCATATCACCAAACCAGCTCAGCTTTTAAACGGCATCAACACACTTTAAATACTTCCCTGGGTGAGGGCCAATAGTGTCCTTGAGAGTTAACTGTAGAGGCAGAGCCAGATGTATAAAGCATCTCTGCCCTCGTCAATATCTTGTTTTGTAGCTAGCGTTCATTAACTTGAAACAATGTTTTTGTTTGTTTGTTTTTATTTTTATGCTAAAATAATCTTATGTTGTTGTTACAACTAGTTTTTGTCATAGTTAAAATGAAGTTACCTAATGTAAATAAGTAGTTGTATTAGATATAATTACTTATGTAGTTCTAAATTACATTTCAGAGATTTCACAGAGTTTTTATGAAGCTGAAAAACAGATGGAACTCTCTAGTCTATAACCTATTGCTGCCTCCCTGTGGAGACTCTTTAGGAGATTATTCTCTTTTTCAGAATTAATAAAATTGGTCTGTGGCTGCTGTACAAAAAAAAAAAAACTTTTATCAGTATAATAGTTCATATTAATATGATATGAACTATTGAAGTGATAGATGAAACCAGGTGTCATTGTAGGAGAAGCAAATGTGGTAACTGAAGAGACAGATGTTGATTTGAGTCAGCCTGTTGCAGAAAGATAAAGGTGTGGGAAAGCCAGGTGGTTATTAAATTTTGGGAAATTCATGCTTTATATTAAGTTGCTATGTGTTTTTAGCACAATGACTGACTGTTTGTTAATCCAGCATTAATAAAATAACTAAATACAATACCGTTTGAGCACCAAGCTAGAAAAATACACCATTGCTAAAATTAATGGCTGATTTCATCTGCTTTTTTAGCTGAAAGGATATTTGAAGTTATTGTTGCTGACCATGTCCATGTCTTTATGACGTGTATCCATCTTCTGATGGTTGGTCCCACACACATCACAAAGCTCAAATAATCTCAAACTGATTTCATGAACATGAAAATGAGTTCCCTGTACTCAAATTACCTCCATATTTAATGTCTTCTTCATCCAATAGAGCACCTATGGGATGTGGTGAAACAGGAGATGTTTACACTCAGCCTTGGAGACAGGAGAAGAAGGTCGCTGAGAAGGGGCTTGGAGTAGAGCCACTACTCCTCCACATCAAAATGACCATGATCCCTCCTGGATGCCTCCTAGAGGAGGTATTTGGGACATGTTCTACTGCAGAGGTTATATTTTTCAGCTGGCTTTGTAGTCCGTCCAGAAGAGTTAGAGGTCGTCACCAGGGACAGGGTCTTGATGTCTACTGAGACAGCTGTACCCAAGACCTGCACTTGGATAAGTGGAAGGAGACTATGGATGGATGGATGTTGGATGTAGGGGTGATCTACCCCAGTATTTAACATAATGCAAATCACTACAAAAATAGAACAGGAGTGTCTTAATCATAACTATAGTCATAAGAAATTCGATTGGTATTTGTTAGGCTCACCAAGTTCTAAGGTAAAATATATTTTTTATACTGTCCCAACTCTCCAGTAGATTTGAAATATGTTATTGTCTTAGGTCTTGGAGCTGATTACAATGTGAGTGCGTGCAACTGTGCTGGTCGTATCGGATTGTAGAGGTGTGTTTGTGTGTGTGCAGCCGTGCATAAACAGCTCTGCTAATACGGGAGCAGAGGCTAGACGTCATGGATCAGGAGTGAACCCACACACGGAAACACACAGAGAGGTGGATGCAGATCAGCTCAGCTGTAGACACGGAGGGAGCAGGTTTAAAAAGCCGTATTTGTATCACAGTTATAGTACCTCTAATAAAAGGTATTGCAGAAGAAGTGGAAGTCACAAAACTGGTAGCAGTGTTATTAATAATAACAGTATATGTTTTTAGCAGAAAGAGATCCCAGTGATTCCTAAGTAACTGAATTCAAGGTAAGACCATATTCATTCATTCAAATGATATTTTTCAGGGAGGATTTTATGCCTTTCTTAAAAGATCATTCGAAGGAGCAGGTGAGAGATTAAGTGTTATTTGTTTTACCTTAATCTTATTTTTAGTCTAACCTTAAATTAACATTTTCGAAAACCTTAACTGAACCTGAATCTAATCTTTCCTAACCTCAGGATGAACCTAAACTTTACCTAACCTTATCTGAACAATCCATACGCTTAATCAAACCTAAACATAATCTTTCCTAATGTTAAGCTGAACCTAATTTTGACCTGTCTTCATTTTAGGATCAATTGAACCTCATCCCAGCCTTCATCGCCTTGATTAAACCCAAGCTCTCTCTCTCCTATGATAAGAACAAACCAATTTTAGATTTATCTTACTCTTACTAGATTTAATTTACTCTTAATTTAAATTAAGCCACATTTTCGCATACCCTTTATGCTAACCTTTTATTGGAATTATTTAAATAAAATGAAGAACAATTTGCCAGAGATAAAATCTTGACTTTCATCCAGGATCCAGGGTCCCAGTCCCCTGTAGGACTGTTGCTTTGGGACTTTTGTTTTGCTTTGTTTTGGGCTTTTAATTTTCAGTAGCTGTTGTATTTAGCTTTTAGCTGAGTGGTTTCCAGCCTGAGAGTTGGGCATACCAAAGAGTCATCATTCTTCTGAAGTGTTGGTTCGCTCAAACCAATAAAAACTACACAACCTCAGATTTTGTTTCTTTTTACAAAGAAAATAACTGGAAATTGTTATCTTGTATCTCTCATAATTTTACAATTTTATACAAGGCTATAAAAGGTCTAACTAAGAAACCACTGTGATTTCATCATTGTTATATATTCTTTTTTATTATATGTATGAAAATCAATGATCGTATGACAATCAGATTCCTGTTTTTAGCTGACAGGAGTGACACCTGGTGTGGTCTTCTATCGCTTTAGCCCATCTGCCTCATGGTTCAAAGTGTTGTGCATTCAGAGATGCTCTTCTGCATACCTTGGTTGTAGCAAGAGGTTGTTTTAGTTACTGCTGCCTTCCTATCAGATCAAAACAGTCTAACCTCAACTGACCTTTGACATCAACAAGGTATTTTCACTCAGCGAACAGCCATCCAGTGGATATTTTCTCTTTGTCAGACCATTCTCTGTAAACACTGAAGATGGTTGTGTGGTAAAATCCCAGATCAGCCTATCTGGCACCAACAAGTATGGCACGTAAAAAAAAGTAGAGTTCAAATAAGTACAAGTAGATTTAAAGTATTTAAATCGCATTCTGCCACTGATAATGTACAATGTTTATTACAGGTACACTTAGTCGAATTGAAATAAAAAAAACACTTAAACTGTGCTTTGATTTCACTTATTGTAATTTTTATTTAAAAAAATTCCCCTTTGATTATCTTCTTCTTTTTCTTTCCTTCTCCTCGCTCGACAGTAAGGTGATCTGTCTCAGCCACAGTAAAGGTCAAAGGTCATGTTAGGGGAGTTTGTAACAACAGGAAGTGTGTGTGTAGCCAATAAATATTTAATAGAGACAAATAAGCTGTCTTGGAGGATGGATATATCACTCTGTGTGTGTGTGTGTGTGCGTGCGTGTCTGTGTGAGTAAATGATTAGGATCATTTATTGAAGAAACTGATTTATTATTGATAAGATTATGAAAGCCATTAATAACAGCAAATTGCATTATTGATTAGAGCCAATAATGCAGCTGCTGAGGTTCTGAAGCTCTTTCCAAAACAAACACATGCAGTTGTTTCTCCATTGCTTCAGAAGACATTACAACTGTCGGAAAATGAACAATAGGCTGCTAAATGTTTTTTTACCTGAAAGGCTTCATATTGTGAGGTTATTATCTTACACTCAATTAGCTTATCTTCTTATTTATTAGTCCTTTATTTATCTAGGTAAAACATCTCATTGAGAATAAAAATCTCATTTCCAAGAGAGACCTGGCATCATGGCAACAAAAGTCAAAATACACATACCACATAAGTATATAACATTTAAAACAAATACAATATCCCATACCAACATGTGTAAAATATACAATAACAGATCAAATTAAGAGTGACATTAAAAACAATCACACTGAGTAAAAGAGTTATTCTCTCGTTCCTTTAAGACAGACTTAAACTCTTCCAAAGTAACCAATTCTGATCATTTCAGTTCCTTCTGCAGATTATTCCAGGAAGCAGGGGCAGTGTATTTAAAAGCCTTTTTCCCCAATTCTGTTCAGAGTTTTGGGACAATCAGTTGTATGATATTGTGAGAACGAAGGCTGTATTGGTTGTGGTTTTTACACATATAAACACATAAATAAGATGGAACCAGCCCAAGGAGAGATTTATAGATAAAATCAACCAATGGGAGAGTCTGCGAATATGCAAAGAACAATGATGTACACGATTTCCACAGCCAGTAATAAAACGTAAAGCACAATGGTACACAGTATCCAACGTCTTTAGGTAGCGGGCAGGTGCATTCATAAAAAGCAGGTCACCATAATCCAATAAAGGTAAAAAAGTTGCATGAATCAAGTGTTTTCTCACTTGGAGGGAGAAACAGGATTGGTTTCTAAAAAAGTAACCTAGTTTTAGTTTTAACTTTGACACAAGCCTTTGAATGTGAGTCTTAAATGACAAATTCTGATCTATAATGATCCCTAGATACTTGTAAGATGTGACCATTTCAATTTCAGTTCCTTGAATTGTTTTAATCTTAGGCGATGTAGCTAACAACTCTTTGCCATTTGAGAATAACATGAACTTGGATTTCTCTGGATTTAACACCAACTTAAGTTGAGTTAAATGGGACTGAACATGATCAAAGGCAGACTGCAGAAATTGCAGTGTTTGTGCTACTGAAGGAGATGAACAATAAATAACTGTATCATCTGCATAAAGATGGAATGCTGCATTTGACAAATTATCACAAAGGTTGTTTATGTAAAGAGAAAATAGCAATGGCCCTAATATGGAGCCCTGTGGAACTCCTTTGGATACTTGGAGAAAAGAAGAAGAAGACCCAGCAGCATGGACACACTGTTTTCTTGCTGACAAGTAATTTGAAAACCAACTTAGAGCATTTACAGATAGACCAATATTGTTTAGTCTATTTAATAAAATAGCATGGTCAACTGTATCAAAAGCCTTTGACAAGTCAAGAAAAAGAGCAGCACAGTATTTTTTGCAGTCCATTGAATCAATGATGTCATTAACCACTTTAATAGCAGCATTTATTGTGCTGTGTTGTTTTCTGAATCCTGACTGATGTTGGGAAAGAACTGAATTTCTGTCCAAAAAGTCTTTCAGTTGTTCACTAATGAACTTTTCTAGAACTTTTGCTAGAACACACAAATTAGATATGGGCCTGTAGTTATCAACATCTGAAGGATCACCTCCTTTCAGCAAAGGGAGAACATTTCCATATTACAGGGATCTCACTGTTCGAGAGGCTAAGATTAATCGGTTCTGCTATAAAATCTGCAGCCAACTTAAGAAAATAAGGATCAAGTTGATCTGGTCCTGCAGATTTATTTAGATCCAACAGATTTAAAGCCCTGTGGACCTCAAAAACATTTAGTGGAGAAAAACTGAAGGGTTGGACCACAGATTCAGTTTGAGTGGTTGCAGAGCGGGCCTCCTGTTGATCTTCTATTAAACTTAGCCTTATTAAAACCAAACAAAACCAATCTTTATCCTGGTCTTAAACTGACTTTATACCAATCTTCCCTAATCTCAATCAAACCTAGGTATAATCCTCCAAAATGATCAACTGTCTCTGTTCTAACCTTGACCTCTGACCCTATCCCAAACTACCTATGATATCATTAATCTAACCTAAGCCCAGTCTTTCCTAAGGCATTCATTTTGGACTTTTAACCATATTTTCTGAAGTTTTACAGCTTTAGCTCATTCATACTACAAGTAATTAATGAATAAAAAATACTACTAAATGACTGGAAAGCTCTTATAACTTGACAAAGAGCCATTTTGAAAGATTTATTTCAGTATTATAGCAGTATTACTTTAACATGCAGGAAAACTGGGAGCTACAGTTGAAAATATGCATCATCATCTCGATCTTGCCTTTCAAAAGCTTAATCTAGTCTAGGACTAATCCTTCAATGATTAACATTAATCTAACATACCCCATTAGATTTGACCCCCATTTTCTGATTTCTTGATATAAATCTGCACCAAAACGTAAACTCCTCTAAGCTTGATGCTACTCTACTTCTTGTCCACCAGATGTCATGGCGATCATCCTTTCGCTGCTCAAAGTTTCGTCACATTTTTGGAAAGTCTGCCACCAAGGAGCACAGCTACGACAGGGTGCCAATCACGCGTAGTGTCCATGACAACCACTACTGCTCAGCCAATCCCTGCTTCATCGCTGTGGTGACTGAGTGCGCGGGAGGCGGGTCCTTTTTAGTCCTGCCCATCCATCATGTACATAGACCTTTTTAATTTAATTTCTTCTGAATTAACATATTAAAGGATAAAAAAAAATGGGGAAAGTTTTAAAACAGTTTCATGGTCTCTCTTTCAGACAGGCAGAGTAGATCCTCAGCATCCGAGGGTTTGTGGCCACAGCAGCAGAGTCCTGGATGTCAAGTGGAATCCATTCGATGATTACTGCATCGCCTCATGCTCAGAGGACTGCACTGTTAGTTAACGACTAACTAGGATTAACTTTGGAATTAGGTTTAGGATAAGGATGGGGTTAAATTATTGGGAATTATATAACGTTTAGTCAACAGCACATACACTTTGGTCCTGTGCATGTATTCAGGTGAAGATCTGGGATATCCCAATCTGTGGAGTCCAACAGAACCTCACCAAGGCCAGGAAAACCCTGATTGGTCACTCCAGAAGAGTGGGGCTAATTGAGTGGCATCCAACTGCTGAGAACCTTCTGCTAAGTGCTGCCTATGACTACAAGGTCAGTGCCAATCATATAACATTCTGGCCTAAATGAGTACCGTATTTTTGTTAAAAGAAACAGTCTTTGCTTTTGTGTTGTATTTAACTTCCTTCAATATATCTTATGACCATAATGCACAGAAATCTTAGAGAAAAAGCCAATGGTTGGCATAAAACATTTTCTATAATAGACACCTTACAGGATTGAACCAGTAAAGAAAGTATCAACACAAGAGAACCAAATGTTAAAGAGCTACACTCTACAATCAGTAATTCCAGTGCATTTAGGCTGCAAAACAGACATGAATTTGTCTCACTTACTGCTCCAGGTCCTTCTCTGGGATGTATCCCAGGCCGGTGCAGTTATCAGGTATCCAGTTCGGGTGGTGCTGATGCCCATCCACCACCGCTACCCATCTGAGGCACTGCTGCTTTCAGTCAGCTTCAACAGTGATGGCAGCAGGCTGGCAGTCACATCCAAAGACAGACACGTTCGAGTCCTGGACCCTCGGACAGGAAAGATTTTACAGGTATGATTATTGTATCTGAATGAGTGTCCTGACAGAAAATTGCCAGGAAGGTAACTGATACTTCTGCAGGTATCAAGCAGTAACTCACACAAGGCCAACAAAGTTTTATACATCGGGGGGTTGAAGTTGCTTCTGTCCACTGGCAGCTCGTCTTGGAACCACCGGCAGATCGTCCTGTGGGACCCTGTAAGATTTTTTTTCCCTTCAACTGTAATCTGAAACTTAATCTAAGCTGTGCTTGTTCTTAAACCTGAATCCAATTACCAGTATTTTCTAGGAATAAGAATACTTGGGTCGTAAGACATGATTAAAAAAGAGATTGCTGAAAATGAGGCACATAGACAAAAACAAATAAATATATAATAAATATATAAAATTAAACAGCTGATAATAAAAACTGCTTTCTTGTGAAATGATTTAAGAGAATCTCACTGGAGAATTAATTATATAAACTGTATATCTCAATTGAGCAACTTTTGCGTATTTTAACTTGATTTTTTTTTTTCTCTTTACAATTTGCTCTACATTCATTCCCGTATGTGTTTTCATGCAGGATGACTTATCTGAACCCTTATATGAAGAAGATCTGGATGGGTCTGCTGGAGTACTCTTCCCGTTTTATGACCCAGACACACACATGTTGTATCTGGCTGGAAAGGTCAAAAAACATAAACTGCTTATGGCAAAATGTGCCGTTAAATTTGAACAACCATCATCAAGGAGGTTTAGCACCACTGTATATGTTATATTTATGCTTGTAGGGTGATGGAAACATCCGGTACTATGAGCTAAGTGCTGAAAAACCTTACATCAGCTACCTGACTGAGTACAGGTCCCTGCTCCCACAAAAAGGACTTGGTGAGACCAACACACACCCATAAGTGTGTTAGCTAGTAAATGACATCATTTATACAGCTGCCAGTCCACATTTGTTCCAGCTCTCACCTACAGTCATGAAATCTGGGTAATGACCAAAAGAGGAAAGTCATAAAATGTCATAAAATAAAAGAGTAGGTCGGCTCTCCCTAAGAGCTAAGGTGAGGAGCTCAAACATAAAGAGTAGAACAGCTGCTCCTCCATGTTGAACTCTGGGCATGCCCAACTGGGCGGAGACCCTGGAGTAAGACCTGCTCATCAGGTAGAACCAGAACAAGACGGGGCCAAAGACCCTTCTAAGTCTACTCCCATAGCGACCCAAACTCAGATAAGTGGAAGAAAATCAGCGAATCGATAGATATTCCTCCTTTTCCAACTTATCAGGAAGTTACGCAAATTCTGGCTTCATACTATGACAATTGGGAATCAGGTGAGCCTGGTATCAAAATGTAGGTAAATGGGAGAGTTTTGAGTTTCCATGACTTCTTCTGACCAGACATCTAATCACATGGTGACATGACCCTTTGGATTTTTACCCAAAATGCTGTTTGAGTCAAACTTGGGTAAATCATCAAAGCAGATCAAACATGCTTGTCTCTTTTACTCTCTCACAAACATTAAATTGGTTCCATTTTGTTATTATAACTATCAGATATTCAAGGATATTGGTTCTTTGATTGGATATGAAAAAAATCATAGAGCACACAAATGTGATTTTGACTTTAGATTGTGATCCTCTTGAAGTGGATGTAACAGTGATTTGGTTGCAGTTTTTAACAAACCTAAAACTTTGTATCCAACTCATCATCTATACCTATACTCATTTCAAGGTACCGACACAATTTTAAGAAAGCTTGTCTAAGTTCCTTCACAGGCACTTTGATGCTGATCTAACAAACTTGACTTAAATGTCGACTTTGATGGATAATTTCCTTCACTGTTTCAATGCTACATCCTGCGGTCATGTTAACAGCTGGAAGACACCAAGAACCAAGCTTCTGCCCCAACAACTCAACAAATGTTGGTCAAACGTCGTCTTTTCATGCCTGTTGGTCATCCTACATTTCTGAAACTGTCTTATGTCTGGTTGCAAGACTGTTAAGGCATTCTATGCAGGACAAGTCTTCTGCCTGAAAAACCCATGCCTTGCTCCACCACCATCTCACCAACCTTTAAATATTGATGTTGTCGTTCTTTAAAGTCTAGACTTTCATGTTGTAATGATAGAAAAAGGCAAAGAGTTTAGTGCCACTTTTAGAATATCCACAATACTTTATGACACAGGACTAAAATGTGTTTTGACGTCTGACTCACTCCAGGGGTGATGCCAAAGCGTGGCCTAGATGTGACCGCCTGTGAGATTTTCCGGTTTTATCGCCTGATTGCCATCAAAGACCTGGTCGAACCGCTGTCCATGATCGTACCACGCAAAGAGGTTGGGGTGATGTACTTATCTTGAGTATAATTAGAGTACAAGAAGTATTGGTCCAGTTTTTTTCTTGTTCCTTCCAGTCAGGAATTTTTCAAGAGGATCTGTACCCGATGACAGCTGGAAACCAGGCAGCCATGACCGCTCAGGAGTGGCTGTTGGGGGTCAACAGAGGTCTGTAACCTAGCTGGGCCATCAGGTACTCTAAAGATATTTACTCTCTATAGATCATTTAGTTTATCACTGATCTCTTACATTTCCTCACCAGGCCCAGTGCTGATGTCCCTGAAGCCAGACACTCGAGTACCCAACCCTTACCCAGAAACCCAAGCTGAGAAGGGGCTGGTGAGGCAGCTTAGCTCCCTCAGGTTTCAGAGCAGCCCGGCTGCAGTGACAGAGATAGGCCAAGACTTTATAGAGGAGGTAAAGTGTGATCTGGTTATTTTACCTGACATTGCAGGATAAAATATACCAATCTGGGATGCCTTTTCTTGATTTTAAAGTGGTATACAGTTGTGTGAAAAAGTGCTTGGTCCCTATCTTGTTTCCTGTTTTTTAGTATGTTTTTTCACACTTAAATGTGTAACAGTAAAAGGCTGTAAAAATATCTGTAAAGATCACCAGTTATTGTAAATACTTGATTGGTGTTGTTGCCCAACTAGTTATTAGGTTTAGGGGGCAATCACCTTTTCACACAGGGCCATGTAGGTTTGGATTTTTTCCCTTTAATAATAAACACCTTCATATAGAAACGGCATTTTGTGTTTACTTGTGTCATGTTTGCCTAATATTTTAATTTGTTTGATGATCTGAAACATTTAAATGTGACAAACCTACAAAAAACAGGAAACTGGGAAAGAGGGGAAACGCTTTTTCATGCCACCGTACTCTTTTTAGAAACTTCTGTTTCCTTTAGACAAACTAGGAAATATGTTTTGCCACAGTAACCGTCACATCCTTCGAAACTGACCTGAGACCTGATCCTTTTTTGGAGAGTAGTTCTCTGATACTTTTGTTGCCATTCTCTGTTGAGGTTTTTCTGGAGGAGCAGCTGTCCTATCAGGATGCCAAATATCCCAAAGATCTGAGCGATCTGTCGGGGTGGCAGCCAGACGAGACCCAGGTCCCACTGTGGACATACTGCTGCACCCCGCACTGCTGCGAGCCTGCCGAGAGACCGCCACCAATGACCGAGAGTGAGGTTGGATAAATGATAAAACACTTCAGAAGAGTGTCTCCTTATCTTGCACACAAACTCAGTCCTAGTTTTTTCTGTGTTTCAGCTACTCCAGGCATTTTACAAGCAGCAGGATGAGATCAAAGGCCTGAAGGACGAGCTCCATCAGAAAGACGTGAGTTCCCAAACAGTACGTTATCAGAAGTTCTTGTCAGATACTTTTTTATATTTTTGTGTTTTCACGTTCTGCAGATGAAAATTGCTCAGCTGGAGCAGGATATCAAAAACACCAGAAAGAACATGAGAGCGACCTTCTGATTCAGACCCTGCTGTGTAGGAGGGGCTTACAGAGACAGCGTGACCCACAGACAGCGGAGTTATCCTCCACAGACTGGACTTTGTAGTTGAAGCCACAACTCTTGTTTTCCTAAAATTCCTGAAAATGGTTTATTTGGGAGCAGAGACTATTTTCCTTCATACTTCACAAACTACCTGAAACACAATGGTCACCATCGAATATAAGAAACCCTGCGTCTGGGATGATGGGATGCAAAAATGCAAATTTGTTAAACCTCTTGAATTAAAGCTGTCCAAATACTTATGGCGCTAAGTGTAATTATGACCACATGAAAGGCGCAGTGATGTCAGGCAGCAGACACACACCACCTGCTCTAGTGACTTTTACTGGTGCAAGCAGGTTGGAAACAATGGAAGGGGCAGAAGGACACAGCAGATCTTCTTGTTAGCAGTTTGCAAACTAACTTCAAGGGTAAGATACATGACCTTGCTGTTTTGGTAGGCCAAAAGAGCTAAAATGCATAAATCGCAAAACTCATGAAAAACACAGCGTGGGTGTGCAAAAAATGTTGAATGAAGTTTGGAACTGGACTGCATGAAAATGTTTGATGTAGTCACCCAGGGTTTCTGGACTCTTTGAAGCCTGAGTCCTGGTGTTTCATTGAATACGCATTAAAATGAACGTAAGACCAATAAAATATGAGTGTTTCCCTCAACAAAACTGAAGCACTATCCGTTTTGGGTGGTCTGCAACACACATAGAGCCATATCATTAGTCAGGTAATTACATTATGTAATATTATGTTCCAGATCAGCACACACACAGCTCCCGTGTGCCAGAAATTTAGTTATGAAGACCAAAAATGTGTTTCACACCAGGCTGTAAATGTGCTCGTTTCTGCTTTAAAGTTTGTGATGAGTGACTCACTCCAGTGGCCATTAGAGGAACTGCAGTTTTCTGACTTAATCGTGTTTCATATTTAAAGTTGATTGATCTGTGATGTCACATCAGCTTGCGGAAATAAATATTTTAAAATCCAGCACAGACCTGACACCGAACGTCAAAGATGAGAAAAGGCTGAGAGACAAAAATCAGAACTGGACTGAAAAATCAGTGAAAACAGATCTGATGGAGTCATGAATCTGATCTATAGTAGAACATGGGGCGGCTCTGTTATGGTTTTGCATTTCAGCCTGTGGGGTTCTTGTCACAGAACCATTTGGTCCACTGTGTAATACTATATGGCAGCACAACTGCAATTGTGCTAAACATTGGCCAAAAAATTCAGTAAGCTACATCAGTGTCTACTGTTTACTATCATAGCCAAGTGGCTAACAAACGTAAACAGAAGTTTTCACTATCCGTACTAATTAATGTTATCTTGTTGTATCCCTGTTGTGGTCAGTGCTATCCTCTATACTGTTGCATGCTGGGGCAGCAGGTTGAGGGTCACAGATGCCAACAGACTAAACTGATCCACAAGGCCAGTAATGTTGTAGGGATGGAGCTGGACTCTGTTAGGGTGGTGTCAGAGAGGCAGATGTTGTCCAAGATAAGAACAATCATGGATAACACCTCCCACCCACTCCATGACATGCTGGCTAGTCACAGGAGCACGTTCAGTGAGACTGAGATTCCCAAAAAGCACCTAGCCTCTGTTAATCCTTGATATGTATAATTGAGTGATCTGTATATATTAGTGCTGTTATATTAGTGCGGGTTGGTTATTAGATGCTGCTCCAACCAGCCAGTGAATAACCCGCTGCCCCGCCCTCTCCTCCCTGTGCCCCAAGCAGCAGGTGCACCTCGCATACGGAGGGCGCCCTTCCAGCAAGAGGGCGATAGAAAATCGAGCGGTGCCTATGCCATTCCCAATATGCGCTCATGATGTCGGGGCAGCATGAGTTCGAGCAACTTTTTTTGCCGATGCCCGTGATGCCGCCGTGGACAACTGCCCATGTCACCCATGTCAAAAACCGCTACTGACTGTGAGCAGCGCTGGCTTTAAAAGACTAAACGAGACGAGGGGAGACGAGGACACAAGAGAGCCAGGAGCAAAATGTTAAGATTTTATTTACAAAGTCCTTTTTGTATGTATTTTTTGTTTGCTTTCATTTAACTTACAGAAAGTAAAACACAAAAAAAACAAAAACAAAAAGAAAACAACCTCGACTAGTCAGTGTAAGCTTGAAGGAACATCTGGAGCTCTCTACTGAGGAGACAGAAACTAAAGGAGGCAGAAAGAGGGAGAGGGGGGAGGAAAGAGGCAGAGCGTTTCCCCAGACAACCATACAAAAATTAAACAAAAACAAATTCCTCTGAAAAAATATTTCTTTTAAAAAGCTCTGTTGGCAAAAAAAGACAACACGATTTGCCCTGAGCAGGTTTGGCCTTGGCAACAGGAAGAGGGAGGAGGAGGAGGGGGGGGTAGCTTTTTTTTTGTTTTTTTTAAGATTGGCTTTAACACAATGATGTCATCAGAGCGACGAGCTACATCACAGACCGATGACATCAGGGGAAAAATAAGGAAATGGGGTTGGGTTCAAATTTCATTAATTCATTTATTAACTCCTCATGTTTTTATTGTCTTGTAAAAAAATAAAATAAACCACGCCCACATGCAATGGAAAAAAAAGTTAACGAGAGACATTTATTCTCAGGAGGAAGAGGAAAACTGACGTAAAGTCTGCGACGTTTTGTTTTTTTGAGCTTTTCCAGACTGGTGATGCATTTACTGCCCACAAACAAGAGTTGGAATTTAGAGTTCAGATGGTTTCTTTCCTGTTAGCACAAGTTTAGGTTGTTTTTCCCCCCCATTTTAAATGTAAACTGTGAAAAAACAAACAAACAAATAAACAAACAAAAAACTGTCGAGCTGTATATTCTGATGGAAGATTTGCAGGTTTCCAAAGAAGGCGGCGAAACATCCTCTGGTTCCAGCTTCTAAAAACGTGAGAATCTCTCTGCAGCTTCTTATTTTAATAGCTAAACAAACTCTTTTATACAGTTGATGGTGGGACGAGAAAACAGATACTTTTCTGTTAAAGTGTTTTCTTCTTTCCTGAGTTCACAAAAAATAAACGTGCTGCCATTAAACCAAAAGAATAACACTGCGGCAAAAACAGAGGACTAAATGGAGGCTGTAAGTTGTTGATGACAATGTGAAAAAAATTTGGCTCAACTTGTGGAAATGAAAGTATTTAAAAAAACAAAACAAAGCAAAACAAATAATTAATGAGGCGTTTTAGACAATAACGGATGTCAATTTGCTCTGCTAGAGGCAGGTGACAAGCGAGGAGACCAGTTTCAGAAATGGGACGTGGCCCAGAGTGAAAGTGGGAGGAGGCAGAGGGGGAAGAATTGGCAGCAGGGATGAGACATTTAGACTGAGGGTGGATAAGAGGTCAGCAGGGTTTGCGGGGGTCAGGGAGGGGTCTCTGCAGGCCCTCATTCATCATCGTCATCATCATCCTCGTCCTCGGGGTCCCTCTTCCTCTTTTCTCCTTTGGCTGGAGACGAGTCCTCATCTGCAGGAAGAACAATGGGAGTCTTTTATTTGCCTGATTAATTACTACTTGGCTACACCTGACTGAACCAACTCAACGGACACCATCAGATATAAATGAGTGTTGAGTATTCCTCAAAACAAAGAAGTAATAGTGAGGAAAAATACAGGTTTACTCACCATCCTCCTCATCTTCATCGTCGTCTTCTTCCTCGCTGTCCACATCTCCGTTCACCTCTCCATCCTGCAGGGACAAAGACTGCTGATGCAAACTCACAGTGCCTCTTCTGAATCAGTCGAAAAGTCCGAGTTCCCAGTTGGAAATGTGTTGTGGAACGCTCCCTCAACTCGGATTACCCCGTCGGAAAGTCAGAGCAGACTAATGTACCACAAGCTAACAATCAAAGTTTTACTGTTTACTGGACGTAAACTGTGAACATTTAAACTGTACTGCAAAAGCTGTGTATTTTTGACCGACTCAGCCATGCGCAGAACACTGACCAGCCTCTACTCATGAACATGAGAAAAAGCATGATGATGTTTTACTAGTGACGCCTGAATGGTTTCACTTTGCTAAGAACCAAACAAATCCGGCCTTTCGTTGCTTTTACTGGAACCACCTATAGTGTGTGGGGTTGTTATAGCAAACTGTGCTTGGCGTACAGCTTTTCGTCAGACTTTGTGTACGTGTTTTCTCACCGTATTGTTTAAGTGTAGCCAGTTTCCTTTCTTGTTATCAAACATGACGATTTTTAATTTTCGTGAACAAGAATTAAGGAGACCCTCTCCTGACTCATCAAGCGCAGCTTCCCTGTTCCTTTCCAAGGAATCTGTGTTTAACCTACAGACACCTGTCAGGTTTTGGAGGACTACATGAAAGCACATGTGTGTACCTATAAACAAACAGAGCTGTTGTATTATAAATTATCCATATGGGTGTTTACACAACTGCACGGGTCTCCTGGTGGGAGCCAACCTGCCTCCAACCAATCCCAGTGTGCCTGCAGTCAGTCACTTTGTCGAGGAGTTTACAATTAATTATTTATATATGCAGACAGATTCCCAACATGCTGCAAACACTGAGCAACTCTTTAGTCCCTGAATGCAACACGTCTCTGTGCAGTATGGCACTTAACTGGTTGCATTCTGGTTACATTTCTGAGGTTCTGGCTGGACTTTTCAGAGATTCATTATGAACCTTAACATGTAAATGCCAACTTAACCTCATTAAATTGCAGACTGACTCCATCTTATTGTAGTCTTAATGCACCAAATTCACAGGACAGAGGGCATTTGACTGTGATGCTGTGATGAAAGTGGTTTTAGACAGCATGTGGAGAACAGACGACCAAATACGTCACAGATAAACAGAAGAGACGTCACATCTTTCATCGTTCTTCAGCATTTCTATGTAAACGTTACTGATTTAACTCCAAACTCACCTCATCATCACCGCTGTCGTCGTCTTCGTCGTCCTCCTCAGCCACTACGTCTTCTTCATCCTCCTCTTCCTCTTCCTCAAAGTCCTCTGACTCGCCCTCTGCAAAATAAAAAGAACTATCTTAATATTACTGTCGCTTTAATTTTCTCTCAGCTTTCTAGAAATCAAACCTTCACCTTCTTCGTCCTCATCGTCGACGCCGTCTCCCTCGCCCTCGGAGTCGGAGGCCTCGCAGTCGTCGATGTCGTAGCCGTCCAGGTAGGTGAGCTGGGGGAGCAGCTTGAAGATGGACTCCCTGTAGTCGGCCAGGTTTGTCACCTCGCAGTTAAACAGGTCGAGACTCTTCAGCTGGGGCAGCTTTTTCTGGAGGGACAAAGACGGACATCCGATCAGTTTTCTGAAAACATTTTCAAAGAACTAATGAAGAAGTACAAAGTGCTGCCCTCGTTTGGCTACAGCACACTGTGTGCACGTTTGCTTTGGACATAATACTGACGACCACAGCTCTTGTGCACTATTATGTCACTACAAGCTGAAACTGCATCATGGACACCTGAGACCAGCACATATATTGTATACCTACATGTCAGTATAAGGATAACAGAGCTGCTGATTGTCGTCCATGTTGGCTGTTACTATAGAAACTGTTTATATATACATATATAAATGTGTTTGTATTTCATGCTGTTATATGATTTACTGATGGTCACAATCTATTCACATACAAAGGCACACAGCAGTGATCTGTCACTTCTTTTTTAAATAACGATGTA